AGGCCTGTACCGTGGTAGCTACCTACTGTAAGGGTTCCCGATCGATGATGAAGGATACCTTATCCATCCGGACGTTAAGATGGCCCTTGCTTTGCCGCCTCTTCTCTGATCCCCAAATCGACATTGCTCGGCTGCACTGCGGCTGGCGTGCCCGACTCGACTACCTACCCGGTATTGACATTGTCGACTCGCGATTCGGAAACTCGACCCTGTCAACAAATTGCCAGGCTTAATCAAGGCTGACGAAACCAGCAACAATCGGCGCGTGCTGGCGGGCTCCGCTTTCAATCTTAAACAAAACTTTTGCCAATCTTTTTCAAGTTGCTACATCTTTAACTCGAATCTACACCCCATTATTTTCGGCGCGCTCTACATAACCAGTAGACAGTGATGGCATCGCATGACAAGGACGACGTCCTCCTCGGCGCGGACCATATCGAAACGCATGCCTCTGCAACCCGCCGGCGCCACGAAGAGTCTCAGCCCTTTCGCGCACATGCAGCTCCGCGACAACCAGTCGAGAGGAATGACAGCAAAGGCCTTGCCGACTTCCTCAACTCAACTCGAATGGAGCCTCCTCAGACTACAGGCTCTGGGGGATTGAAGTCGAAGCCTATTGTGATCCCCAGCAACGTTCATGATGGAGGAGACAAGACGACCACCGGCACACAGAACCCTGGCGCAGGAGGCAATAGTGCACAGTATACCCACGGCAGTTTGCAGGTCAAGTGTGGCCCCCTCCTTAATTACAGGCGCATGGAGAACGAGACCTGGTTCGGCAGTGTCTTGGTCGTTACGGAGGGGGGAGGCATGGCAGATGCTCCCGAGGTTCCTGAGTTAAAGCTGAGGGTTGCGCCTGCTGAGCGGAGAGGGCACATTGCTGGCGCGGATGTTGGGACGGATGAGATTCGTGAAGATACCTCGCACGGAACTGTAAACGGCGTTGACCACAGCAGCTTTCAGCAACCTCAAGCGCCACAGGCCAGTGCGCATAGTAACGGGGTCAGCGGAACCAATGGCAACGGGGTCTCCTCGAAGGATGTCAAGGTCAAGGGAACCAAGCTATACTCCGATTCCCGCAACACCTTTTGGCGATTTGACTTGGAAGTGCCCATGCAGCAGGAAGAGCTGAAAATCGACTACGAGATTCCAAGTCTTCGTTTCGGATCAGAGGGTAAAAGGGACAAGCAGAGCTTCTTTATCCCGGCGATCCCAGAATCGATGAGAATCATGTTTCATTCTTGCAACGGCTTCAGTGTTGGTACGGATGAGGATGCGTACTCCGGTGCGTGCTTGTGGAACGATGTCCTGCGTGTTCACGCCCAGACCCCCTTCCATGTAATGTATGAGATCTGATCTGTGAGAATGATGCCGGCACCACTGACAGATGACAGGCTCGGTGGGGGTGATCAAATCTACAATGATGGTATCCGTGTCAGTGGACCTCTCAGAGAGTGGACGGATATTAGCACTCCTCACAAGAGAGAGAAGTACCCATTCCCGGAGTCTCTGAGGAAGCGATGTGACGATTACTATGTCAACAACTATATAAAATGGTAATTTTAATTTTGCAAACAAGAAATCTAAGGACCAAGCTTAAATTTGATAGGTATTCCATGGAACCTTTCGCAGGTGCCAATGGCCAGATTCCTCAACTCAATCTATGGGACGATCACGATGTGAGTGTGCTCTTCTGTACTTCGAAATATCAGCTGACTTTCGTTGTAGATAATCGATGGTTTCGGCTCTTACACAGACCATTTCATGTGCTGTCCGGTGTTCAGAGGGATTGGAGGAGTAGCGAACAAATATTACCTACTCTTCCAGCACCATCTCGCTCCCCCAGCTTCCACCTACACAACCGGTAAGAGAGCCAACGCTCCATGTGAATCTGTCTGCTAATAGCTATATAGACGCGCCCCAGACCACAGGACTCGATGCTGTAGGGCTCGACCCAAGACAGCTTGAGAATACATATGTTCTAGATGAGAAAACCATCGACTCAAGCTATATCATCGGAGCAAAGCCGGGTGTCAGTAAACGAAGGAAATCTTGTTGAACCTGGGCTAACTGGAACAGCCATATGTGGTAGAACACTCCAGAAGCATATATGCCAGGCTCGGAGCCAGAATAGCTTTCTTTGGGATCGACGCCAGAACCGAAGTCAGTATACGCCATTGTCGTGGTATTATCCCGCTAACACATTCAGCGAACTCGGAAGCAGGTCAACTATCCCGAGACGTACGATATCATCTTCAGCCGGTTGCAAAAGGAACTCAGCGCATCTAAATCGTCGTCAACTCCCATCCAGCATTTGGTAGTCCTGCTGGGAATTCCTATTGCCTATCCTCGTTTGACTTGGTTGGAAAACATCTTCTCGAGTCCCATCATTGCGCCTATCAAATTCCTTAACAAACGATTTGGTTTCGGTGAGTTGCTCTAGCTCCAAACCTGAAAATACGGCCTAACACGTCTTAGGTGGCAGCTTCTTCAACGCTTTCGATGGCAGTGTCGATTTGCTGGACGATCTCGACGACCACTACACGGCTCGTACCCACAAGAAGGAGCGACTGTTTCTAGTGCGCCAACTTCAAGCACTAGCCTCTGAATTCTCTGTTCGGATCACAATTCTCGGCGGTGACGTCCATCTGGCTGCCGTTGGAAGATTCTACTCGAATCCCAAGCTTGAAATTCCAGTCGCCAATGACTATCGATACATGGCTAACATCATCTCTTCTGCAATTGTCAACAAGCCACCCCCGCAGGCAGTAGCGAATCTCCTTGCTAGAAGAAACAAGCTCCATCATCTAGACCATGATACAGATGAGACTTTGATGAAGTTTTTTGACAAGGATCCCGGCGATGTCAGCAAAACTTCCAGCTCAAACAATGTTACGATGCCGAGTCGGAACTGGGCGGTCATCACCGAGAACTCTGGCGGAGCTACGCAGAACACTGGTGCTCATGGTAATGATTCTGCCAACGGAATAGCCGAAAGAGAAATCTCGTTGAAAGGGTCAGCTCCCAAGGCAAAAGACGGCCACTCCTGGCTTCACGAGGGCGAAGTAGATGCCGGAACTCTGCATAAAGCTGCTGACAGCTCGAAGCACGGCAAGGGTAGCGACGGCAGCCTTGACATCTGCATCAGAGTTGAGAAAGACCAGCACGATAAGGAGGGCCAGACTCAGTCATATGGCATGACTATTCCAAGCTTGAAATTTACTGAAGGGATTTCCGATCGTATTATGAGGAAAGCGCATGGAGTCGAAGGGAACGCTAAAGAACATACGCCGGGTCCTGCTTAGGTGGCAGTTGGATTATATGTGGACTGCTTGAATATGCAGGTGTAGTTAATACTGTCAATGATATCCCACTTGTACTAGTTATCAAATTAAACGAGAACATGAATAATGCTCATGATGAAGCAATCTTGAGAGCACCTGGTAAGTATTGGCCTTTCACGTGATCTACAAAGCTTAGCGTGACATCTTCGACTCCACCACTCCTTAGCTTGATTACCGACCGATCACCAACCACAAAACTGGTTAATATCAAGCCGAATTAGATGACTCTACGAAGTACGGAGAACCTTCTTCTTGCGTCTTTTAGTGCCCAGATCACGCTCATCTCTACTTACCTGACTCACTAGGCCTGTTATGGCTTAGTGGAGTTTCGAGGATCCATCAACGCGAGAACCTCATCGCGACGATTAAAGCAGCATCGACCGGAGTTCAAGAGCGGATGTTCCGTGCACAAGTCGCAAAATGGACTCGGAGCCTGATCCTCACCAGCATCTCTCCTCTGCCTACAGAGCACTGCAACCACAAGCTGCCCCGGGAATTCAGCACGGCCAGCCGCACCTAGGTCATCATACGTTGGATTCCCATGCCGGACTGCTCGACCTCAACGATAACGATGCCGTGTTCCGCCATGATCTCCAGCAACTGCAGGACAATACAGCCTTCCAAAACCCAAATCCTTTCGATCAAAATCATAGCCAGCGGGCTATACACGTACAGAACAATGACAGCCCACATTCCCCGCAGCATAACAATGGTGGACAGTTTGGTATCTTAACGGCAGGGCCAATTCAGCACAGCTCGATCCGTGGCTTGCAGCAGGAGGAAGATCTATTTGGAGGCCCGGCAGCAGATGGCTCAGATCAAAAGAGCAACGGACATCTCAGCACGAAAGCTGTCATCGACCCTCCCGATCTTGCCGAGTGGCGCCTGAAATTGTTCAACGTGGACGAGATGATCACTTTGAGTGAAGATGAGTACGGAAACATGTTCTGTCGAAATATACAACTACTGACTAACATGGCGTCTTTAGGTTCCAAACCTACTTCCCTCACGTCGATAACGTATACTCTCATCGTTCTACCCAACGCTATAAGCGGAAGCCATTTGTATCTCATTATTGGGACTGCCGATTAAAGGGTAGGCCACCGGGAACACCCAAGTCGAACGACCCAAATAAGAAGAAGCGTAAGCGAACAGCAAGAGAACGGGATCTTTGTGATGTGAAGATCAAGATCACCGAGTATTTTCCTGGAGCTATGTTGCGTGCAGATTTCGTGCCAGATGGAGGACCGATCTCTCAACCCGTAGATCCTTCGCAGAGCAACAACTTCTTTGCACCTGGTCAACCGGGAGCACCTATGCATCAATCACAGCAATTTGGCGTCTCCTTCGTCAATACTCCCTTGGGGGCAAATCATCCGGGCGCAACAGGTCAAAGATACTACACTATCCAGCGGGTCAACGGTAATGGTGGTAATGGCAAAGGTGATGGTGTCCCGGGTCCCCATAAGCATGGCTTGGAGGAGAGTGATCGGGTCAAGAAGAATAGTATACAGAGACTTACTATGAAACAAGACAAGCAAGAGAAGAAGACACAGGTACGTGAATTTTAACTCACTCACAAACCAAGCACGGGCCGGCTGCACTCCAGTCTTGGCAACAGTAGAGCAGCATGGGAAACTCTCAGCTGCAGAGGCCCGATGACGGTCCGCTCTGCGAGCTGGGGTCATGTTATCCATCATAAGCCAATTCTGGAAAACCCTTCTTTCCCTCCGAGAAATCAACAACTGCATCATGGTTCCCCTCTACGGGTGCTACCAAATGTCGTTTGTCTTAGGCCTGTGCAGCTTGTTTCCTAAGTCACAACCCATCTCCAAGCCGTCAAAGTTCAACACAAGAAGCAGTGAGCGTCCCTTTGAGTACAGTGGCTGATACGCCAGAACAACAGAAGACTTATCACAAGAAGGCAAGCGGTAATGCTTTAGCCACTGTCAGAAAGCATTCCAAAGACCATGAATTGAAGCTCTTTGGCAGCTGCTTTTGGTGAGTCCGGGTTGATGCTTCAAAGATACTTTGAGTAACGTCAGTAAATACCTGAAGCATACTGACTGTCTCCCAGCCCATTCGTACAACGTGTTTGGATTGCTATGGAGGCCAAAGGCTTGCAATACCAGTACATCGAGGTCGATCCTTATAAGAAGCCACAAAGTCTCTTGGAGGTCAACCCTCGAGGTCTTGTTCCGGGTATTCGACATGGCGAGTGGGGTTGCGGCGAGAGTAAAGTCTTGGTGGAATATGTATGTCATTCATCATAGTTTGGATGCACGTCAACTTACATATACATAGCTTGAGGATCTCGGCGCTGGTCAACCTCTTCTCCCTCAGGGCAACCCACAACTTAAAGCAACATGCCGATTGTGGGCCGACCATGTAACTATGTTTCCATTCAAATCAGAGACGGCCCTAATATATCCTAGATCGATCGAAATATCGTCCCAACCTTCTACCAACTCCTACAGGCCCAAGACTTCAACAAACAAGCCGAGTACACCAAAAAACTCAAGGACGAAATCGGTAAAATCGTAGACATGGCCGAGCCCCATGGCCCTTTCTTTCTCGGTAACCAGCTCTCCTACGTCGACATCCATTTCGCGCCCTGGATGATCCGTCTGGCTCGCGTTATGAAGCACTACCGTGCCTGGCCTGACCCATTACCTAACAGCAGATGGGGACGCTGGCTAGATGCCGTTGAGAACAACGAGCATGTCAAAAATACTACTAGTCTGGACGAGTTATACATCGATAGCTATGAGCGGTATGCGCAGAATCGCCCCAATACTTCGGAGTTGGCAGAAGCTATTAATGGGGGGTATGGACTGCCATGACAGGGGAGTAACGATGTTTGATGGGCTGGCGATACAGGACGGCTCTGTGACTGATACCATGGGCGGTATTTTTGAATCGGATGGCGTTCAGGGATCCCTCGGGATTTGCATTGCCCGCTTGTAAATATATGTAGGTAGTGCGTGTATGTTAACTGCGATGCTTAAGCATCTTCCAACTGATGATGATATTGCATGGCCCTCGCCATTAGTCCTCGCCTCTCTCTCTCTCTTTCTCTCTTAAAGTTCTGGTCAGATCATAGTAAGAAGCACTTTAAACATACGATTCAATGTCCATTGGTAAGCTAGCCAGAACAGAGTTTGATATTGTAATTGTGATCTCGGCATTCTCCGCGGTTTCCGCGCTGTGAGAGCGCAGAAAGCGCTTTTAGCACCGTGGGCTCTGCCGGCGCGTTTCCCAGCATCCTTACTTCACATCGAGTCCCCCAATCGCATGACCTAATTCCGTTCTCGTCATAACTGATAGATACTCTTGACGAAAAGAGGTATCCCATGACATCGCATCAAGTCTCGCTAAAAAATCGTCATCTACTTTATTCACACACCGGTAGCCTCAAGAAAGACGGCCGCTCTCCCAACGCTACAACTACGCACCAAGACCCTTAGTTGACGAAAAAGCCGTCCTCCTTGCCACCGCCACCCTGTCCGCTACCCTTGGCGCCACCCTGAAACACGGTTCCTTCAAATCTTGGGAGATCAAAGGTCCCTTCCGGGTCCCTACCCGTCGCCATGATGTACTCCTGCACCTTGGTAACTTGGTGTCTGATATCTCCCAGCAGGGCCGTCATATCCAAAGCCACCTGCGGGTTGTGCTTCGCACCGGCTTTGACAGCCGCTTCCATGACGTGGAATCTGCTCACGGAGTTGCGGAGCATCATGTCGAACGGCGTCGTGGTGCTGCCTTCCTCCTTGTAGCACTCGATGCTCATGCGATCCAGGCGTGGGCGACCGAACAGGAGGCCCTTGATCTCGTTCGAGTAGCCGTGGTAGTTGAAGTGGATGGGGCGATCGGGCGTGAACAGAGAGCTGAACTCGTCGTTTGTCAGGGAGTGCGGGTGTAGTGTCTCGTTTTCGAGGATCATGAGGTCCGTGACGTTGACGACGCGCACTCGCAGGGCGGGGCATTTCCGGCGCAAGATGGCGGCCGCGACGACGACTTCGAAGGTCAGCTCGGAGCCGATGCCGACGAGTGTCACGTCGGGGTTTAGACCGTCGTCTACGGAGGCGAATTTCCAGATCGAGGCCCCGGCTTGGCAGTGCGCGTCTGCTTCTTCTACGGAGAGAAAGACGGGCTGTGGTTGTTTGGAGCCGACCATGAGGTTAACGTAGTTCTTTGAGCGGAGGCAGTGGGCGACGGTGGAGAGGAAGGTGTTCTGTTTGGGTTTTGAGATCAGCTGGGGATTTTAAGCGAGGGGAGGAAAAGTTAAAGGGTGGACTTACAGCGTCGGGCGGGAAGTAGACGCGGGCTGCGCTGGCTTTGAGGTTCAATACGGCGCCGATGAAGGAAGGGTTTTGGTGGGAGAAGCCATTGTGTTCTTGGCGGGTCCAGGTGCTGGTTTCGATGTAGTTTATGGATGAGAGGTCGGAACGCTATTCTCCTTGTTAGCATGCGAATCTCATATCATGAACCGGAGGCTGTGACTCACCCACGTAGTTTCTCTGGCCATCTTGTTGAACTTGCAGTACTGCACCATCATGGTGTGGATTATACCGAGAAAAGACTCATATGATGGAAATATACCCGTGCGACCAGTAAGCGTGTATCCTTGCAGGAATCCTTGACAAGTGTGCTCGCTGAGAATCTCAATGACTCTGCCGCCCCGTGCGTTGGAGAACTCGTCCCATTGGAAATCGCGGCAAGTGTGGTTGAATACTGCATCAAGCTTGTTGGATACCAACTCGTCTGGGGAAAATATGCGGAGCGACTTGGGGTTGTCAACAAGAGCTTGGTCGATGAGGTCGCCAATAGCTTTCATGCAAGACTCCTCGCTTCCCTTCTCGACTCCGAACTTTTTCCAGTCTGGGACCTTCAATGGCTCGTGAGATTTGTATGTCTCAGCTCTCTGACCGAGTTTCTTTGAGGACTCGGCTGGAATGACGCTCTTGATAGAATCAGTGACATCGCCTGTCTCTGTGAAGAGCTTGGCTGGACCGTAGGACAGAAGCCACTTTTGGAGGTCGGCGAGCTGTCCCTTGTTGGTCTTTGCTGCCATGAGAGGGACTTGGTGGGAATGGAACGATCCTTCGACGAACTCGCCATCTACTTTCTTGGGTCCACTCCAGCCCTTGGGGGTTCTCATGATAATCACTGGCCACTCATGGAAAATGTCAGTCAGATTTCGAAAGGAAACAAGCTTGCTGCTTACGCGAGGCTTCATGATAGGTTTGCCTGACCGGGCAGCCTTTTGAATCTTGCGGATCTCGTCCAGAGCCCATTGGAAACTCGTAGCTAGATCACGGTCCTGATTGATATCAATATAAATCCGTGATTTATCTCCGACTTGACTCACGATATCTTCCAAATCTTCAACGAATCTGCATTGGTAACCGAGGCCTGTGAACAGTGTGACCATCTCCTTGTCGTCCATGCACCCGTAGATAGTTCTCTCTGAGATCTTGAAACCATTGACGTGAACAATAGGAATGACCGCACCAGACTCCGCAGGGTCAATGTATTTGGCCGCATGCCATGCGGTAGCTGTAGGTCCGGACTCGGCCTCTCCGTCACCAACAATGCAACCGACAATCAAATCAGGCTTGTCCATGACAGCCCCAAAAGCAACAGACAGCGCATATCCCAATTCGCCGCCTTCGTGTATTGCCCCTGGAGTCTCAGCATTGATGTGACTGGGAAATCCTCTGGGTGTGCTGAATCCCGTGATCAGGTTATGTAATCCTTGCTTGTTCTGGGCGTATTGTGGGTAGAATTTTTCTAAGCTACCTTCGAGCCAAAGGGAGGCTAGGATTGCGGGAGCTCCGTGTCCTGGGCCAACGACGTAGATACAGTCGAGGTCATTTTTGCGAGTGAGATAATTCAAGTGCGCGTAGACAAGAGTAAGACCCGGGCACGTTCCCCAATGTCCAAGTAATCTGCGATAGTCAGTTTCCGGGTATTTGCTGGGGGGAGGTGTGGAACTTCGTGCCTAGGCTTGATATCATCGTGAGTGAGATCACGTTCCATCAAGGAGTTATCACTCAAAAAGATCATTGCTGAGAAGTCAGTGAAGGTACTTGAAAACCATCAAGGTTCCATTGGAGCATGAGCTTACCAGCTGCAATGTAGTTGCTGGCTCTGCGAAACTCTTCCAGACCTTTCAGATCTGCTTCACTCAGCTGCATCTTCTCCAACTGAACAGACAGCTTGAGGACATCTTCAGGAATCAAGGAGGCCAAAGCCTTGGGGTTTGGCCGATCGATCTCTTCTCCAGGCATATTGGTGGTTTGTCTGCAGTGACTTCGAGATAGGTTGATAGGATGGAATGTAGAGGCCGAGACTGGCGAGTGCAGAGAAAAGGTTGATGGTGAGAGGGACTATGAGTTGAGAGAATTCGAAGCTCTGAGTTTTGAGGTTTTCCAGGGTCCAGGGCTCCAGCTAGGAGAAGCAAGGCTAGCCTGCGTTGCGTCACTGGGACGGCGGCAAATTTCTCGGATTGGGAGGATCGAATCATGTACTGTATTATGCTGGCTGGTTCGGGAAATAATCGAGGCTTACTATAACTAGGAGGTAAGAGGGATAGCGAGTCATACAAATGGCTCGCTGACCTACAAACAAAGTTACCCACGGGAGTCTACAATTAACTACGTAGTATATGGTCTGGCCTTAGAGTTACCAAGGTTTCCAGAGGTTCCAACAATCCTATTGGCTTGTTGTCCTGACGAAGGGGGAGCTGGAGCATCTCCGAGATCCATCAACGAACGTCATATCGCTTCGATGCGGGTTTGTTTACATGTACTAGGTAGTTAGTCATTTGCCTACCGCGAGCCCTGTCAGTCGGCCTCGCCGACCTTGCGGATTGGATCGATCAGCCTTATCCATACCAGGAAATACCTATGGAGTACGGAGTACGGAGTATAGGATACAGACTGAGAGTGGGATGAGAGTAAACATGGCGTGGTGAGGCTGAAGATGCTCGGATCCCTCCCGGCCTCCCGGCCTCCCGGCCCGTCGGCTTGATCCACTTCTAAACTCAACTCGGGATAAGCTACGTACCACGGTACAGGCCTAAGTATTACCCCTCGAGGGTGCCTCAAAAGTCTAGTTTCCACTTTAAACCCCCTGTTTTCCCTACCCTCGAGGGGTAATACTTACGCCTGCGACGTAGTATCTCCCGGCTTGGAACGTCATATCATGATTTGGCGAGTGGAGCGGCAGTTGGAACGGGGCTGAGGACCAAAATTAACAAACAATATATTTTCATCCAAGCTCAAACTTCCAAGCCGAGCGAAAAACTTCCAGTATTTTCCGTTTGAAAGGCCACTCTACCTACCACCATGTCAAAAATTATCCTCTCCATCAACGCCGGCTCCAGCTCGGTCAAGATCTCTGTTTACACAGCGACATCAGGATCCGAGCCAAAGCAACTCGCAGAAACCCAAATCGATGGCCTTACTTCTCCCCCGCCGCAACTGAAATACACACGCGCCTCCAAATCCATCTGTAAAGCTCAGAAACTAGAAGAGAAAATCACGACACAGAAAGATGCTTTCCAACACATGCTCAAGATGCTTATTGACGACTCCGAATTTCCAGACATCCAGAAGCAGGAGGACATTGCCATCGTCTGCCACCGCGTTGTGCACGGCGGCGACTTCGCAACTCCCCAGATCATCAACGAAGACACATACCATAAACTCGAAGCCCTAACTGATCTCGCGCCGCTGCATAATGCCCCAGCCTTGGAAATAGCGCAATACTGCATCAAGGGAATGCCCAAGACGAGGAATGTGGCCGTCTTCGACAGCGAGTTCCACCAGACTATGCCGGAGCATATCAGGACGTATCCGATCAACCAAGATATCGCGAAGAAGAACAAGTTGCGGAAGTATGGATTCCATGGGATTAGTTACTCGTTTATTACGAGGAGCGTGGCTGAGTTCTTGGGCAAGAAGGAGAGTGAGACGAGTTTGATTGTGTTACATCTGGGTAGTGGTGCCAGTGCGTGCGCGGTGAGGGGTGGGAAAAGTTGGGATACGAGTATGGGCCTGACGCCGCTGGCGGGCTTGCCAGGTGCAACGAGAAGTAAGTTTCTTTTTAATCAACCAACAATTTAAAGGAAAGTAGGAAAAAAATCTGACATATCTAGGTGGAAGTGTGGATCCTAGGTCTGCTTCGTCTATCATCTTTTTGTTTGAGAGTTTCATGCTGACCTACCTCGTAGCCTCGTCTTCCACTATGCGTCAGATGTAGGAAGGATCTCTCCAAACTCAACCGCGGACCTGCACATCTCCCGCGCAGAAGAGATCTTGAATAAAGAATCTGGGTGGAAGTCGCTAACTGGCACCACGAGCTTCGGCACCATCGTCGCATCAGACGATCCCAAGATGAAACTCGCGTTCGACATCTTGCTTGACAGAATCATGAACTACATCGGTGGCTACTACGTGACCTTGCACGGAAAGGTTGACGCGTTGGTCTTTGCAGGTGGTATTGGCGAGAAAAGTTACTTTTTGAGGAGGAGAGTCGCGGAAGAGGCGGCGTGTTTAGGGTTTGAGATTGACAGAGAGAAGAATAGCAAGGTGATTGAGGATGTGGTGCAGGATGTTGGGAAGGAGGGCGCCAAGCACAAGCTGCTAGTTTGCCAGACTGACGAGCAGTTTGAGATGGCGAGGCTTTGCACTATGGATGATAAGTTATTTAAACTGATGTAGGCTGGAGCTGGCTCGAGAATCAAGAACTAATAATTCAGACCCGTAATTCGTTTTGGTCATGGTCCTCATGAACCATTCTGCCTGAACATGCGAAATCACCAGGAGACATTGATCATGGTACTTATAAGTCTCAGATGCTAGTCAGTACTCCACATCAGATACACGACAAGATTTCTTCAAACTTTCAAGTCTAAACCCTTAACTGACATCGAAGCCCTCCGGAGCCGCTAGGCGAGGAAAAATTTGGAGTTGGTTCTATAACCATACAAATAGGTTTCTGGCACATACGACCATAGACTGAGGAGAATTGGGCATCCCGTTCGCTCTGCCATACACAAGCCTCAGATCGGCAGATTAGTAGTTGGGTGGGTGACCACCAGCGAATACCTGCTGTTGTATGTTATTGCCATTGTATTTCTTTTTTGGCTAATGCTGCAAACAATATGTATATAGGTACGTACTTAGCTAGGTAGGCAAGAACAAAACGAACGAGGGTCTTGGCGTTCCTTATAAAGCCCGGTTCAGATCCGAGAGATGCAGTTGATACCAGGTTAATATTCTGTCCCTTCTTTGCACATCGAAGCCCTTGTAAGTGTGGGTAAGGCTAATATCTTACTATTACTCCGAGACCTAATGAAAATTCAAGACCCGAGAAGAGGGTGTAATATTGTAGCAAAAACATGTAGTGAAATTAAGAGAAAGCCCTACCTAATTGTCGGGAAAAAGAACGCTATATTCAGCCCTTCAAAAGCATATCGACCTTGGGCAGTTGTACTACGAGACACGCCTGCAAAAGCTGGAAGAGCTGTGTAGGGAGCGCGTGGAAATGCGGAAATGACTCTACGGGTCCTCGATCACGAGTTGGACTACCTGACAAAAACCAGACTCATTTCAAACAAGTAGCCTACACAAGTGGATATAGTGACATATATCTGAAAGAGAAGGACCTCTTGTTCGAAGTGTTCGGCGTGCTCATTGGACTCTGAAACCTGGGTTGCTGCTGTGGTGTGTCTTTCTTTTTGATAGAATCTTGGCAATCCGGGTAGGTTTTGCAGAAACTTCTCTTCTTGGAGTCTGGATGATGAAATTTGGAGGAAATTCATCCTGCTTCATCGCAAGGTCAAGCCGACGATAAGTGACACCGGATGTAAGCTATACAGTCGTTTGAGAAAGGAGGATGGGGATGGGCTATCAATTCCCTTCTAATCTAAGCGAGGGTCGAAAACGTATTTTACCCTCTTCACTTCAAAACATCAACATATCCGCAAGCCCAAGCTTCAAGAAGAGCGAGTTTGAAATCTCAATATTAAGTTATGCAGCAGTCGAAGGTTGGGATCAAAATTGAATTGACAGTGGGGAAGTAGATATTATTCACAAGTGATGTTGACGACCTCGAACTTGTCGTTTGCAGCTCCTTACTCCATGCTTTGAGTATCGGTCTCCAACCGGAAACATCCTGATGACCCCCGAGTGTCAAATTCTCAAATTCTCAACTGCTCATGCTGTGCTGCGACGATACCTCGTTTAACCGAATATCGACATCCCCGATGCAGCCACTTCCAATCCACCAAGCACCGTGCCACTCCCCCACCCCAGCAAGCTTACATATCATCGGAGCTGAACCTCATTTAATCTTGAACTTGATTTCTGTTCGATGGCGAGATTAAGTATATTTTAATACCCGCTTTCAAAGTCATAATAATGAATTACTCGGATAGCTTTCGGCGCAGTGCATCCAGCAGACGTCATAGTCAGCGTGCTGAAGACAACCACGGCAGTGGGCCTTCTCGTCATCTCCTTATCGGAGGCCCTCCCCGACCAGAAAAGGTGCCCCCTAGAAGAAGAGACAGAGATGACGCCGATCCGAGTTATCAGCCAGGCCCAAGTTCAGCGCCTCCGCGGAGAGAAAACGTTTCTCGCCCAGAGATTAAAGAAGAGCATGAGACTGTAGCCTTTCAAGATTCAGGTCCAAGGTGGGCAAAACGAACCTCATCGTAGTCTAATTCACATCGTTCCAAGGCATCCGGGTCTCATCCTTCTCCCAAATTTTGATTTCCGACCAGGCATTTACTGACTCCCAGATCCAACAGCGCGCCTCGGCCTCCAGATCGACGAGCACGGGTTGAAGACGAACCCGCAAGCTTGCACACTGGCCCAGATCCAAATCCACGTTCTTCAAGAACGGATAGGCAAAGTTATGCTTTCGAGCCGGTGGCTCCAGTACCAGAGAGATCCGACGAGGAAGATTGGTACACGTATGAAATTCGTCGTCACCCATCACGAGAAAACATACCTGTTTCCATTCTTCGAGAGCACATTCAACTACCATATGGCATGCCACCAAGACGCTCACCTTCTGGAGCATATAAACCTCCTCCACCAGGAAAACCCCGCCCTCTACCGCTCAATCCGATGCCAGTTTTGCACGGACCCGAGTTTAGTATTCATCGCAACCGTCCACGCTCTCATGAGGTACCTCCACTTCCACCACCACTTCAGCCACCGCCTCCTCTCCCTTACGGCTCGCATGTGAATACTAACGAAGGGCGTCCAAATCGCCGCTCGTCTTCACGGGCCCATCTCCTCCCGCCTGCACCGCCCACTGTTCCCCCAGGCTTCGTGACGCCGTCTCCGTACCTAGTCTCATCCTACCAATATCCTCAGGACCCGGGTTCCGGCCATGGACATGCAGGCGGTGGGAGTGGAGGCGGTGGTAATCGTCACGATCTTGCAACACTCGCCGAGCAGCCCAATCCTAAAGCAAACGAGAAAGTTCGGAACAGCATTGTACTTTGCGTCTACCGGCATAGCCAAAAGGCCTTCGACTACCGCTTCGTGCAGCTGCGATCTTCTACTGGCCACCGGCTAGATGGGGAAGGACAGCACTACACGACAGACTTGCATGTCTTCCGAAAAATGCGCAGGACGTATGAGAAGGAACTACGGGGAAGTATCAGGCGCTTCTTGAGCTTCAAAGTCTTATCCACCGTTCGGCTTCTCCAGGTAAGAGCCAAGCCCCGATTCTGGCCTAAAAATATCAAATGTTGAAGTTCTGATAGTATGGCGACGGCATGTTCTTCAGACCGGACCAGGAAGACGACATATTCTCTTCTAAATTCATGCGCATCTGGCAAAATCCAAGAGAAGAGCTGGACGGCGCCATAGATATTTACGAGTGGAACCGGTGGTTGCTAAAGCAGAAAGCTCTCGCCGAAGGATTGGTAAGTACAGTTGTTGTGACATCTGTTGCCTTTCATGGGCTGTCTCGGCAGCATTCTCTAGCCTGTGTCCCAAGACATCTCTCTTCCCTCTGAGAACGGAAACATTCACAATCAGTCATGCTTACTAAAAGCTTCGTACGACAAGGATATGGCCATTGAGCTGATTGAGGACTATGTCCCAGACCGTATTGTGCTCTTCGCGGGCATGTGGCTTATCGGGATCGCAGGTCTGACGGCAGGGTGGCTAATCAAGGGCGGAGATCCAGGATTGGTCTCGACGGTCATGAGCTTCGTGCTGACTTTCATTGCTGGTGAGTTTTGGGGGGGTTGGATTTTTGATCTTGGGCCATATTCCATCCAACAAGCCAGGGCTGACGTGCAGAAGCTGTGGTTGCATTGACGAGTGTCTGGGATTGGTTTGATGGCGACCGCTCAAGAGAGATTCAGCGACGTGCTGTGGTAGTGATACAAGACCCTGAAGAGCGCAAGTATACGAAAGTGGCACCTCAATAACAGAAGTGAGAAGGCCAGCGAAACAAGATCAGCATTTTCATCGGCAGAGCTCACAAGCGCATGGGCTGTGAATAATCAGTATATTGCGTAAAAAGGGCTAGAGGCCACTTACTTGGTGGTCTCGGGCATTTGCGGCGATGTGTATCTTGCAATGCATTACCAAACTTATCTTTCAAAGTAGCTGTTGAATGCTCTCGGTCAAGTCCATCTGAATTTCATACTCTAAATAACTTTATAAAAGATAGACTCCTAAGTTTTATGATATTCCAAACAAAGACGTTGACTCACGTAACAGCCGTTCTAGCTGCTCTTGATTGAATACGAGCAGGCACTAGACGAATGTTCTTCAAAGCTGCTTCGGCCTTCTCTGATCAATCTGCAAGCCGACAAATATCCACTAAGGCTTGAAAAGCTATTCAGGTTATTATCAAAACTCGCTAGTGCAGGTCAACATGAGCATGATAGCCGTGTCGATGATAAACAGAGCCCAGTCACTCGCTAAGCTAGGCCTCGACAGCCTAGAAATGGAAATTGGCCACATCAAACGCCACCATTCAAGGAAAACTAGCGGCTACTCGAAAAGGACAAAGATTTCGGGAATTCTTTCTTCAAAGTTGGCACCATTCGATGAGAGTTGGAAAAAGGTGGAAGGGGCCGATTGATTAAGGCTGCATCCGGTTGATCGGAAAGTTCTTCTAACGGTTGACGCTGGCGTTTGGAGAAGCGACCAAGTGGCTACGCTACGTAAGGAAGCGCTGCCACATCCTTGGCTTGTGAAGAGACGAGAGAGTGGAGATGCGGAGTGGTCTGCAGACTCAAGTATCTGGGCATCTGTTGGGCTATGGGATGGGAGAGGGAGAGCCTCCCACCACTGTGTATGTACTAGTATGTACATCCTATACAGTCGCCGCTTCCTGATCGATCTCCACAGTGAGCTTTGACAACCGCACAAGTGGACAGGATCGTTTTCATTTTTGCTACGCTCTCCGGCTGTTTTTGGGTGTGTTTTTGCAAGACCACTTCCAAAAATCGGATAGTGCGAGGATCCCCTCTCGACTCAGAGCCAGCCTCCCGAGATACCATAGTCCCGTGCTAGAAGCAGTATGTCGTGCTCTTTCCCTGTCATCATTCCGGGGGATCGAAAATCGTATACAGTCAGTCTCTCGCCGTAATGGCTACTGCCCCCCGAAATGCTCCACCCTGATTGAGGAATTTGGAGTCAGAAATTTCTGTGAAGTAGCTATGATGCAGTAAGCGATCCTGGCCTACTTAATTGCGTATCCAGCGCAATGTTTATGTCCAAACCGGTGACAAGATACATGAGTGAAGAATTCAAAAAGTAAGGCTCGGGGCGGATTCGAGACACTCCTGGTACCTCACGTCCTGTAGTTAGTAGTACCTAGCTGCATCCTGGTAGGATGTTTTCCGGTCGCCCGCTAACAAGACGTCCGAGGATATGCTTTCTGACCGGTCTTGCAAAGTAGGCTGCCATCTCTTGACGAGGTCCGCTCTTACGTACATCTCGCCTCGGACAAGACTTCTGTCGGGCTCCTACCTGCTCGAGGCAGAGCGAAGGTCCCGCAAGTACGACTTCCTTACTGTACTAATTTCGCATTCGCATTTTGAGAACCCCCACGGGGATTCCTACTAGCCTAGCAAACAACCTTATTTCGAAACCCGCAAGGAAGGGAGGAGGTGGTGGATCCACCACGAAACGCCCCGGCTCTCTCCTCTGTTTAACTTTGACGCGCACAGGGGAAACTAGTAGCTACTAAGCATAGAGGGAGCGGTATTCAGCTTTGGGTGAATGTTGCGAAAGAAATTAATAGTCAGTGCGCTCGCTGACTTTGACCTGCAGGCTCTCGGTAACAGTCAAGATAGGCAAGTGTCCCAGGTCAAGCAGGTGTCCCATTTTGATTATTTCAACTTGTATTGGAAATAACTTTGCAACGAATAAAGCTATAATATTGAAGTCCAAATGCATAGATCAGCGCAATCGAGATCTTTGATATTCCTACCGAGTAGGAAATCTTTTCATAAACATTTTCACAATTAACAGAATGAATAGTACCTAACTTGCGATGGAATTTGATTGAAAATCAAATATTTTATATTACAACTTTTACTTTTTTTAATATCAGTCGTACCTTAATATTGGACTTAGATATAAAAATTTTCTTATTTAAAAAAAAAACCCTCAATCAAACGGACTCGTGCATCCTGTTCTTCTTATTATAGCTTTTACAGTCATTATTTTATTCTACTTCTAAATGTAATCGAAAAGTCGACGTTCTTGAATGTTCGCTAAACTGTCCGAGCGTTTTACGCTTTTTTACAATTATAATTCCTGCGTGATAAGTATTATCTCAATTATATTAATAGCAGACATGTATACTATTCTTTATAAATAAAATAGAGCTCGCTTACCTCGACTCATACATCTAGTTTTTATTGTCACGGCTTTTCTCGTCGTTGGCTTATTCTTGATACAAATCGCTACCTTCGAGTTTTTTCGATACAAAATACGATAACGTATATATATATATATATATATTTTTTTTTTTTTCGATTTGCAACTGAAGTAAGGTGATAATGAAAAAAAAAAAACTATGGTCTGTCGACGCCGCCTCGTGCAGAAAGCCAGGCTTCCAATATCGCCGTCGGGGAAACCTCCGTACGCGCCCCGTCCCGGGACGACAGTCATCGAAAAGCTTCTACGGGCTGCGCGCGGCTAGAGACTGGGTGTACGGCGCAAGGACTGGGACTGGGACTAGGACTGGGGCTGGAACGCGTCGTGTTGCTTGCTGATGCCTTCATTCATCCATCCATCCCTTTCCTCAACCCACCTACCCCCTCCACTCAGGAACAGAGATGAGATAGAAAACAGAACATCGCTCTCATCCGTCGTCCCACACAGAGACATCCGGCTCCCATCGAAGTGCCAAATGAGATCGAATGAAACCAGAGGGACACAAATGAAACCAGAGGGACACAAATGAAACCAGAGAGACACAAGGAACTGACAGCCAGTCCGTCCCTCGATTGCTATGATGTTAAATAGAAAAGTCGATCTAGAAGGAGAAGAAAGAGAAGGAGAAGAAGGAGAAGAAGAAAAAAAGAAGAAGAAAAAGACGCTCCCTTCCCTACTTCCCTCCTTACGATTGCTTGCGAAGTGGAATGAAATGAAAAAAACACATACATACTTCACACACACATCTACATTCCTAGAAAGCATACCAACCATCCAGCC